AATAGCCTGTCGCCCGATCATTCTCAATAACATTGCAATAAAATCACTCTCTGCAAATTAACACTGCATTCCTAATTCAAACATTCACATCAACAATATTTTATGCATTCAACTAGCTACAAGTTAATCGCCCAACATTATTTCATACATATAGTAGACCAGTTTGCAGTAGACATGTCACTATGTTCATTTCCTTACTGGTAAACTCTACACGCTATATACTACTTACTACATCTGATAGTTAATTCAGTAGGCTGAAAGTGAAAATCACACCGAGATTTACACATGATCACTTACACCGCTTCCAAACAACCATTGATCGAATGTTGCACATAGGATGTTTCTCTTACGTTCTCTTTCCGTACAATATATAATTCGGTCGACAAAACACCATCTAATTCACTTTGATTTGCATTGACGCGCTCATTCATTCAGTAGATTGTGAAATAGGTTAATGTGCATTGTGACATTGGTATACACGATAGTCTAACATTGAATCCATCTAGATTTATGATGTTGAGGAAACACACAAAATAGACAGTAATTAAGACAGCATTAATCGTGTGCAGATTAGTTAATGTCATAAAATATTGTATAGAGTGAAGAAGTGTGTGTACGGTGAAGTGGACCAGTCTATATAATACATATTGATAAACAGTATTGAATTGATTTTAATAGATAGTGAGGCATGATGAACTGGTGTGATGTAAGTGATAATAGTGTAATGTAGTAAAATATGATGATTGTATTGTGTATGGAATGAATGAGTCGGTGTAGTGTATTAGATAATTGTGAATGGAATTGTTGTTGAGTGAGTGAGGGAATGTATGAGTGAATATATTGTATAATTGTATAGTGTATGAATAGTATAATAGTAGTGATAGAAAGTATGTTAGTGAATGAATGAGATGATGAATGATGGTAGTATGTGATTGAATTGATATGGAATGAATGTAATAGAATAGAATGGGATTGAAGTGTATAGTTGATGGTGAATAGTTCGATAGAATTATGTTATGAATTAAAGGGAGGACTGTGAGACCTCCCCACTGACAAAAACTACACGCCCGAGCGCACCCAATTAGGGTTCGTCGCGAGTTTCAACCCACCGAAGTGCAATGGTGAGCCTCCACCCGGGGTCAGAGCATTCCTGATCACCCTGAACCCGGCGCCAGGTAAGTTTAAGCACTAGTCAATAGCCTGTCGCCCGATCATTCTCAATAACATTGCAATAAAATCACTCTCTGCAAATTAACACTGCATTCCTAATTCAAACATTCACATCAACAATATTTTATGCATTCAACTAGCTACAAGTTAATCGCCCAACATTATTTCATACATATAGTAGACCAGTTTGCAGTAGACATGTCACTATGTTCATTTCCTTACTGGTAAACTCTACACGCTATATACTACTTACTACATCTGATAGTTAATTCAGTAGGCTGAAAGTGAAAATCACACCGAGATTTACACATGATCACTTACACCGCTTCCAAACAACCATTGATCGAATGTTGCACATAGGATGTTTCTCTTACGTTCTCTTTCCGTACAATATATAATTCGGTCGACAAAACACCATCTAATTCACTTTGATTTGCATTGACGCGCTCATTCATTCAGTAGATTGTGAAATAGGTTAATGTGCATTGTGACATTGGTATACACGATAGTCTAACATTGAATCCATCTAGATTTATGATGTTGAGGAAACACACAAAATAGACAGTAATTAAGACAGCATTAATCGTGTGCAGATTAGTTAATGTCATAAAATATTGTATAGAGTGAAGAAGTGTGTGTACGGTGAAGTGGACCAGTCTATATAATACATATTGATAAACAGTATTGAATTGATTTTAATAGATAGTGAGGCATGATGAACTGGTGTGATGTAAGTGATAATAGTGTAATGTAGTAAAATATGATGATTGTATTGTGTATGGAATGAATGAGTCGGTGTAGTGTATTAGATAATTGTGAATGGAATTGTTGTTGAGTGAGTGAGGGAATGTATGAGTGAATATATTGTATAATTGTATAGTGTATGAATAGTATAATAGTAGTGATAGAAAGTATGTTAGTGAATGAATGAGATGATGAATGATGGTAGTTATTTCTTGTCCTTTATTCAATTGTTTCTATCTTATTTAATGTTCATATCCATCTGTGTAGAGATAAATATATTTTAATAACTTAATTAATTATTCTGATGATTTAGAATAAATTTGAGAGAAAACCTTGATCATAACAGTAATCTAAAATACAATCTACAACTTATTAGCCTAATATACCAGTGACAAATTACTAAACTTGATTAAGAATTAAATTCTGATATTTTATTGTTTCAGTTAATAAGAGTTTTTCAACTGATTATCTTATTAACTATACAGTTAGATACTTTGTTATTATTCCAAACAGAGGTTAATTAGAAACAATAGAAGACTTATTATTATTAAGAATAGTTCAGGTTGTATTGGTTGATGGTTTTACATATGAAAAACAGTATTATCTACTTAAAGCTAGATCGTTTATTAAGCTAAACAATTATGTTAATTTGTTCTAAGCCTATTCAATATTCACCAATATGATGTTTATTTAAGCCAATAAAACATTCAAGATTCAGTAGGTTCTCTCTTTTAGTTTATCATTTTGAATTGTCTTAACCGTTTACTTGAATGGTAATGTGTTGAAGTTCATTATTTTACTGTATTTGCCGATTTTTATTTCCCTACAGTAAGTAAATGGTTATATAAATGATAAAATATGATAAATTTAATTGGTCCCCGTCTTGAAATAGAATAGTTATATCTTTAAACAATTAAAATTTGTCATAGAAACTAATTTTAATGTAATGTGTATAAAATATTGTTTCCAATTAATTTGGGGGGGGGTCTATGATTTTAGAATATGGATTTCATTCTTTTAGAACCTGTTAGTTGAATTCTTTTACAGTCAAGTAAATGCCCATTCCCAATAAAATGACATATCACTTGTCTTGGAAGTCATATCAGCCCTGGTAAGTTGTTGTTTGAACAAAATGTTGGGACGATTCAGAAAGCTTGATTGACCACTATCAATTTACATTATATGTTATGTAGGTGAACTTTCTATCTGCTAACCAAAGAATGAGTTTACCGCACAGCAGTTAGTTATGTTCTACCTTATGTGTATATAATAGGGTAATTACGGATTGCGAATATTCATGAGTTACTAGTATTTGATTATAAGTGTCTGTAAATCATTGCTCACGTATTTCGGGACCACTGAGTAAGCTATGTTGATATTAGGTTTGTGGAACTAAGTAAGAAAGGAAAATTGGTTGATGAGGTAATGAATCCTCACAAATTGGTATGGTTTGAAAATGTATTATATAAGCCCAAATACCGACTGACTCGACCGAAGAAATTTGTTACAAGAGAAGTATGTTGGGAGGAAGATAAGGGCTAGAAACCAAGAAATAGGGCCAGTCCATGAATCCAGTAACTGTAGGATTGAGCCCTGTTGGTATGTATAAACTATCGTGTTAATAAATAAATAATATATTTATAATATCCCAATGAGTAGAAAAATTAGATTTTCTGACGTTTCGTGACTCATTGTAAGCCACTTTTTTATTCGCTGAAGAAGTGGTTCACACTGAGTCACGAAACGTCGGAAAATCTTATTTTTCTACTGATTGGGATATTACAAATATATTATTTATTTATAACAATCTACCCAATGCTCAATTTATTCAAAATTCTCGTGTTGGTGCTTGTATAGTTATCGTAACCAGTAATGAAACGCTTTAAATAGTATGGCTCAGAGTTATTCACAATAGTTCAGGTACATTCACTCTTTGTCCTCTCTTAGATCTTAAGTTCTGAAATCCCCATATGCTTGTTTTCTTTTTCCTATATCCAATCTCTACTACTTCCAATGATGTTATTATTACTTTTACTACACTGAAATTCATAATAATGAATTTACATCACTTTATTGATATGGTTTGGGAACTTGAACTAACGCAAATATGTGTTACAGGTTCTGTTTTGTATATGGCTGACAACCAAGCTTATTTATTTATCTATTTAAACACATAAATATTGGTACAGAGGGGTACCAGATATATATGCGCCACACAACTCTCATTTGATTTGTGTGAGGACTGTGATACTGCCCAGGTGCTCAAACTGAAACAGGTGGTTTTCTTAGGGGACCACACCCCGAGCCTTTGGCCCGGAGGTCTAACGCACAAGGCAGTGGAGCATCGTGAGGAGATGCAGTCCCATGGTAGCCGGTGATCAACGATTGATTCGTACGCCATTTGTTCCATCAGGATACTGGAGTCCATGTGCACCATTGGTTTGGAATCAGGGTTTCCCAACTCCCCTAGGTGGAGTTTCCGTGTCCACCAACCCGTTTAAAGCACCGGACATTAGCTTTTAGTCCTCTCAATTTGGTTAACAACACCCCTGCCACGGGTAGGCAGTGAGTAGGACTTCCCTGTCAGAGGCTATATACGCATGGACATGTGAAAGCATTTCGAGAGGGAGAGCGGACTCTCCTCAATCTCCGCCGTACCAGGGAATTCGGGGGTCCCAATTTATGACCAAGAAATTTATTTTGACAATTATGAAATAAACTCATCAACAGATTAAAAATGATTAGTTAAGTACTGCACTTGAGAATAATAGGATAGTACAAATTATTATAACATTATTGAGCTTTAATAATAATAATAATTTAATCACTTCCTTTCTCTAAACAATCAAAAGTACATTTCGTACAAAATTAGCATACATCATAATATATACAAAAAGTATTATTAGTAACATTCGAATAGTTTCAAATGACCTTCAATCTTCAATTTCTTTTCAATAAATAACTATGATTGAGAATCAATTACTTATTCTCAAATGAATTAATGAATATCAGCCAATTATGTTTGTCCATTTCCATTTTTTTTTGTTTCTTTTTCAGATATTCAAAAGTCAACAGGATATTTATTTATTTGTTTGTTTGTTTATTTATTTATTTACTAAATCAACTTGTATACTCAATATGCCAAATGATTTCGATATAGAATTTAATGAGGAATGTATTAATGAACATAATCGGTTAGTTGATTATTTAAAATTTCATTATAAAATTATAATATAATTAATATTGTACATAATTTGAATTTATTTACAATTACACTGACAAATTATGATGATTATTGTTTATCGGTTAAGTGCTCTGGTGCGAGACTGGTAGGTTCTGGGTTTGAATCTCGCGAGGCGAGGTCGTGGATGCGCACTGCTGAAGAGTCCCATAATAGGACGAAGCGGCCGTCCAGTGCTTCCAGGTTTTCCATGGTGGTCTAGCTTCAATTGACTCATGATCTCAACCATATAAAATTACTAAAATCTCCACGAAACCCCTTTCTGATAATAAAAAAGCTAACACAAAAATTACCCACAAAAACGTCATGTGTGACCGATCTTATGCAGCTGTTCCTTGGGCATTGCGGTCATGCTCCCAGGTCACTAAGACCACTACTAATGTGATTTTCTTTTCAGGTACCTCTAGAAGAACCCTTCCATGGTGTGGACAACCGGGAAGTGATGACTGCCCTCATACCTCTAACAACAGTCGAGATCACCACATTCATAATCAATGTCCTTCTTCAAAAAAAGGCCAAATTAGAAATAAATCATAAATAATAGTATAAGTGAATCATAATAATAGCTTATTACAATTTAAGTAAAGTTAACAAATGTTAATGTCTTAATTATTGAAAAGAATAAAATAATACATACGCTCTATGACTGTCAAAAAGATTGACTTCGACAAAAGGTGATTGAAGTTATGAATGGTTAGTAAATTCTAAGGGTAAATATGAAAAAATTACTCGGGTACTTGAAAATTCTTTCATTAAAATGTAATTTATTCTTTTAAAGCTAATATCCAAAGTCGTTTGATTCACATTACTAGCATAATAAATATTACATAACAATGTCATAGACAATAACCTATAGATCTTTTATTGTTATTTTTGATACTAATCTCGTGTAATCTGAATAGTTTGATCTTATTGAGTTCCTTAAGAATAAAAACACGATATACTGATGAATGTGATTTGTTTCCTTCAGGATTAAAGATGATCTGGTCGATATTTCAAAAAATGAAAGGAAAAAGAAACTCAAAAATCAGTCTAACTAATAAATATGTTAAAGCACATCACACTTATGTCACTGTACAGACCTCTTTTTCTGGATAATAAAAATAGAACGTAAATAAGAATAAAATACGTATGGATTTCAATCTCATAGTAAACAAGTTAAAACAATGAATCAGTAAATCATATTCAACTGGTTTGAATTTTAAATGGACAAGGACATTTTATATCAAACTTAATATATCTATACCTTTCGAATCTATTTACTCTTAGTAATTAGATATATTTGAAATCTAAAAGAAAATTAATCTTCACGTGAACAACTGAATTCACATTATTCAATCTCCTAAAAAACTTTGAATGTTGAATAACATTTCTTCTAAAAATAAAATAATTTCTCAGAATTTGACTAATATTCAATTCAAGTTAAGAAGAGGAACGAATGCATTCTATTCTTTCTACATCTTACTTGTTTTTGGACACATTAATTTCAACTGATTACATAATTATAGGCAAAGATGGATAGTGGCTAGCAGTGGAATCCAGGACGCGCGTTATGTCCTATCCTCAGTACTGTCTATAATAGTTGATGTTGATAAATTTCTTGTTACCTTTCAAAAACAATTTGAACTTGATAATTTCTTACGTTAATTTACGTTAGTGAAATGATTATTTCGAAACTGAATTCACTTCTCAAAGAATATCAATAATAGTTTAGGAATTCGTCAAAATGATTGTATGAAATCCTTTATCTAACTGAATAATTGAAGAATTCTTACATTCAATAAACGTTATTGAAAGTTTTGATCTATAATTTATTAGGTTTCAACATCAAATCCTTATGATACTGACAATTTAGAGAACTTTCAAATTATCAAACTGAAATCTTGAAAAAAACAATAGGTCAATTGTAATATGACTGAGTCATTAATTTAATGTTAGTTTAGATATGAAAAGCATGAGTAAACTGTATGATCTTTTAGTTATGAAATAAATATCCCACAAAAGATGCTCACATTTAGTAATGATTCAATCAGTCAGACTAGAGATGAGTATAAATATATGGGATTCTAGGATATACCAAAAATATTGGCTAGCTAAAAGTGTTATGGATATATTTCTGCAAGTGTAAAAGTTTTAGTGATGAGTAAAATTATGTAATTACTGCCGGTGGTTGATTAGATTATGAAGACCTCCACATATGACGGGAAGCACGGAATAAAATGGACAGATTCTATTCAACTAGACGATTTGGACTTCGCAGATCACCTAGGTCTTCTATCCCATACACATCAACAAATGTAATTAGAGAAAAACAGTGTGGCAGCAGCCTCTGATTCAGTAGTCCTCAAAATACACAAATGAAACAGCAAGATCATCAAATATAACACAGAGAATACCAACCCAATCGTACTTGGTGAAAGAACTGTGAAACAGTTGGAAAGTTTCACGTATCTAGATCGCATCACTGACGAACGTAGAGGATCTGATACAAACGTAAAGGCAAGGATTGGAAAAGCAAGGACAGCATTCCTACAGATGGAGGACATATGGAACTCAAAACTACTGTCAACCAATATCAAATTCAGAATCTTTAATACGAACATCAACACAGTTCTACTGTACAGAGTTGAAACTTCGATAACTAATACAACCATCATCAGAAAAGTGCAAGTATTTCTAAACAATTGTCTTTGTAAGATACTGAATGTTCGTTGGCCGGTTACCATCAGCAACAGTCTACTGTGGGAGAAAACAAACCAGCTTCTAGCGGAAGAGAAAATTAGGAAAAGACGTTGGAAGTGGATAAGACATACATTGAAGAAATCATCAAACTTCATCAAGAGGCAAACGCTAACTGGGGACCCTGAAGTGAAACGAAAACGAGGAAGGCTAAACAGCACACTGGATCGAGAATTGAAAACAGACATGAAAAGGATGAATAACAACTGGAAAGAACTAGAAAAGATTGCCCAGGACAGAGTTGGATGGATAATGCTGGTGAACGGCTTATGGTCCTACATGAGGGGTAACAGGCGTAAGTAAATCAGTAAGTATTATGTAATATAAATTAAGTTATTTTTGTAATGTCTATTTTAAATTAGTTAATATTGTGTTTGGTATTACTAGGAAATATGGTGATCCAGCTTAAATCGACTCATGAATTCACCTATGAAATTACTACGATCTCCAAAAAACCCCTTTCTGATAAAAATTCAATATTTTTTATTGATTTCTTTTAATTATCAATATTTTTATTACTTTAAAATCACCATAATTGTTTTTTTCTATAATTCAGTTTAAGAGCTTTACATGGATGTCCAGCATTAATCCTTAATTATGAATTAGCTAAAGATGCACAAAAATATGCAGAACATTTGGCAAGTGTTAATGAACTTGAACATTGTACAGATACTGATTCAGGAGAGAATTTAGCATTTTTTACAACGACTGCAATAGCACAGAAAAAAGATTTTACAGGTAAATATGGATGGTATAATAACTTGTATTATTAAATAATCAGTTTATTCCATACAATTTATGTTTAAAATTAAGAATTCCAAGAACAAAATAAACAATATTTGTGAACATTCCCAAAAAAGATCTATGAAATTTCTTTAAAAAGTAACTATCATTATTTATCTTCGCCAGTGAATGGTTTTCAACTAGTTTTCTCCTTTTAAACTTATTTTTTTATCAAAAGGGGGCTTTTGAAGCTAGATAACCATGGAAAACCTGGAAGTACTGGACGGCTGTTTCGTCTTATTCTGGGACTCCTCAATAGGATGAAACAGCCGTTCAGTGCTTCCAGGTTTTCCATGGTGGTCTAGCTTCAATTAACTCATGATCTCAACTATTGAAATTATTTTTATTACATTACATAATTGACGCATGAATTCCATCGAGAACATCTTTCGTTTCTCAAAAGAACAGATGAAATGAAAAATATACTATTATTGTAATATTATGATTCATGATATGTTACAAGCTTTTGTTATATTGAGTGCCTGAGTGCCCTGTTTACATATGATGTGACGATGCCGCCAATGAGAGAACAGTGAATTATCGATCGGACCAGTGACGCACGAAACCCGTACGAGCAGTCTAGAGTACTTGTCAGTCCTGCTTCTGCCTAGACCAGTCAGTTAAGTACAGAACACCAATCTCAGCCTCTACAGTATGAATCATTATATTTCAAACATACTGAGTTTATATACCAATCAAACAGACCACGTTGTACCATAAAATAGAAAATAACATCTGTACGAGATTCAGCGAAATGTGGTTGTGAATAGGGGAGATAGTAAGTGATAGACAGGGCATAATTCAAGAACGGTAAATCGTATGACAATAGTTCATATGTCAAAATAAAGCTTATAATATGGAGGACATGAATATTAATAGTTTAGTTACTTAACAATTACACAATAGGAAATATCATATTGGTCCTTAAATAGTTCTCAAAAGTTACCATTCATAATTCACCTCGGAATATAACAGCTTATCATAAAAGTACGTACATACAGTACATATTCGTAGTTATTCCGTTAAAGTACATCTAAAACAGGAAGCATTTACTGTAGTATTTACATAGTTAAAAACAAGTTTCTTAGAAGTTTAATTAAATAAACAGTATAACAACTAATTAGCACAGTAGTATTTTATGAATTTCAACCAAAAATATCCAAGATATAATCCAATAAATGGGATTTTCCGAAACACCCCTAAGTGTTTATGTGTTAAAAACTTATGATCTATTCAAATTTAATACAGTTTTCAGTTATTTAAATCATAAAACTTGAAGTGATAAAATCTTAAAGAAAAATATATACTCTTAATACAACATGTAAACAATACTATAACCAAATAATCTCTTATTACTGGACCTATTTAATGAATAGATACAATGAATATTGAAACAAGAAGAGTTGGTATATACATATTTAAACTACATAGTGAGTCTTATCAGAAACCATTTCAGTTAATCTGAAAACCACAATATCGATAACTATTTACAAGATGTTTATAAGTGATAGTAAAAAACATTTAGGTTACTCAAATGATTAGTGGTCTTTCTAATATCTTGTCAAACTAAGTCGATCACAACTGAAAAAGCTTTGATTCAACTAATCAAACTAATCAGAAGTTAACAATAGAAGCGATGATATAATCATAGTAACCCTATGAATAGAGAATAAAATTTCCAACCTTTCGTGATTCGGTTTAGGACATTTCTCCGGAGTATAAGTAAATCTTTGTTTTTATTGATAACAATCTAAACAGTTAGCAGAGATGGATAGTGGCTAGCAGTGGAATCCAGGATGCGCGTTTCGTCCTATTTGGGACTCGTCAGCTGGATGTACCTGCATCTCAGAGTTGATGTTCACTCTGGGATTCGAACCCAGTACCCTCGCTTCAAACGCCATCGCGTTATCCACTCGGCCACTGAGTCCTGATAGCCACTTGCTTGTGCCACTTGCAGTCCTAACAAATCGATGGGAAGATTCAAACAAACAATACTAAGTTGAATCTAAACAGTGTTCAAATTTCGATAGAACATTTATATATAATAATAAAAGGTCAACTAGACTGGAAATGGGGGTAATAGCAGACAAGGTTAATAAAAGTAATAATAATAATATTAATGTGAAAACAATTTGAAACCTAATCACTTTGGTTAATAAGCTAATATTACTAGGGTAGGTTTAAGGTGAGAACAAACTGTTTTTGAATACACGAAAGGGGTTTAAATTTTCGTATGGCTAAGGCTTCAATAAACCTTAGCATACGCCCTTTTACACATTTATACAACACCACAAAAGGCCAGTTAAGATCAATCTTATGGCCTGTTTCGATTTTGTATTTGGTAATAGAGGATGATGGATGTTTATCCTCTACTCTTATTGGGTAATTTGATTCTATTTGTTTCTGCAACCATTTTGGTACATGTTCACGCACCCTAATTTTCAGACCACGATTGCTCCCCCCTATGTATGTGGACCACACACACATTTAAATTGATAAACGTAGTGGGATGTGACACAATCGTTTTCATGTCTTTTAGTTTTTAAATGAAGCATGGACCTCGTCCAAATTATTTGAAATTATGCAGTCGAACTTTGGTAATTATACCCATAATCAGAAGTTATTTGCCTAGTTAATCTGTTATAATCAACCAGGTCACCTACATCATAATGATTTGACTACAGTTAGTACTCGCATTTAGTTTATTCCCATTAACTAAAATTTCGATAAAGGTTTTCAGATATTAAACTATTAACTTTGATCTGTGTCTGCTTCTATGTACTGGTATAGATTATCTTCTAAATTGGTCACATCGACATAAACACCATGTGACCAGCATCTCGACTATATTCTGTATAACTGTTAACACATTATTTAAGAAGAATAAATCATAACATAACGTACAATCTAGATATTTGGAATATATTGTATAGGATGTTTAAACTTTTAATATTAAACTTAATGTTATATTATTCTTAAAAATTTCCCTTTTCCTTACATCGAAAGAAGTTTAAGCATTTGACATACTATAAATTGAAACTGTTAGTTGATTAAAAGTAATTAGTGGCAATCCTTAGAAGTAGATTTCGTATTAGTTATAATTTATCAGTAAGATGAATTCATTACATTGAGAGAACTGAAGACTTCTAAATTCATACTATACCTGGTAATGCTATCAATTAGTTAGATGTTTAGTGGTTGAACATCAACAAGTATGAAATCTAGGTTCAAGTCTTTCTATAAATTGCCTTTATCTGCCTAATATCATAGAAAGTATAATATTGTCTAGTTGCTTAGAATAGGGGGGGGGGCTAGTTTGATGAAAAATACTTACTATGTCCATCTTTGAGTTCAGAAGTGTAAATATGATAATCGTGATCCTTGAACCTAAATGACGATATTATTTATCTCAATGATTATTACTTGCCTATGTAAGCTTGATATTCTTCCTGGAGCGTAGGCAACCGACCTAGGATCTATAAGCACTTTTTCCTAAGCCCTCCTTTCCAGTTTTTGTCAGATGGAATCCATGATGTTTATGTCTGCCTCTAATTCACGGCTCAGTGTGTTCTTCGGTCTATTTCTTTTTATTTTCCCTGAAGGAATCCAGTTTAGGACTGGTCTTCTGATGCAGTTTGATGGTTTCTGTTGAGTCTTTCCTATCCACCTACAGCGTCTTTTTCTAATTTCCCTCTTAATTGGTAGCCAGTTCGTTTAGAGTAGAGTATTGCTAATGGTCTCCAGTCAATACATTTGAAGTATTTTCCATAGACAGCTGCTCACGAAAGTGGATATCTTAATCCGGCCAAAAACCAGGAGAAAGAGAAGACACCTTTTTGGCATCAGTCTTCACTTGGAATGGATCTGTGCACTACACAAAACTTCTGTAATACTGCTTGTCGAACTATGCAACAATTCGTAAGCTTGAGGTTCAGCTCAACTACCACCAGGTGATGATCTAAATCTACACTAGCTCCTCTCTTTCTTCTTACATTTTCCGTATACCTAAATTTTTTGTTGATGCAGACGCGATCGATCTAATTCTCCGTAGTGAAATCCAATGAAACCTATGTAGCTTGGTGTTTGAGTTTGTGAAGTAAAGTGGTTGCACTTATCAAGTAACTACTATTTTGAGAGTTTTCTAAAACATAGGAATTCAAAAAAGTTCTCTGACATCGGCTGAACATGAAAAACATACATATTTTCGAAAGTTTTAAAATCTATAAACTTTACTTAAATTTATTATTTTCAAATTTTGATAATACCATCAGACAACATCAAAATAATTGAATTGTACTCTTTCAGTTCATCGATATGTACTGTCAGAAAGTGGAAATTTTAGTTTTTCTGATGAATTTACGTTGGAATCCATCTTTGATGAGTATTTGTCCAAATTGAAGTAGTTGGTCTTTTTTGTGTTATTACAGTGTTCAGTGAGTTCCTATCTCACAACAGACGTGGTTTTGAACTCCACTGGTCACTGCTTCTCACTAGAGCTCCTAGTTATACTTCTCGAAGTCACGTCTGTTGTGAGATAGGAACTCTCTGATGACAATTGGTGAATGGTTGCTCAACTTCGTGGATCAGTTGAAGTTAGACATTAACACCGTTGGATGCCAGCTCAGTGGTCTATCGGTTAAGGGCTTCGGCTCGAGACTGGTAAGTCCTGGGTTCGAATCTCGCGAGTGCGGGTTCGTGGATGCGCACTGCTGAGGAGTCCCACAATAGGACGAAACGGCCGTCCAGTGTTCCCAGGTTTTCCATGGTGGTCTAGCTTCAATTGACTCATGCTTTCTACTATGAAAAATACTTAATCTCCACAAAACCCCTTCTGATAATTATTACAGTGTATTAGCCTAATCGTCAAGGTTAAATAGTTAGTCAAGTTTTTTTGTTTTGTTCTACAGCTTAAGTAAATGATATCTTCAAAAAGAAAATGTTTGTCGTCTTATTCTCTTTATTATTATTTTTCAATGATACAATGAGTTACCTAAATTATCTAAAGTGAAATATTCCATCATTAATGGATATGAAATTTCTGCAATATGGAATATTTACTCAAATAATCCGAAACACTGTAATAAAAACCAATTACATAGGGTCTCTGAAATACTCACCTAAAACATAAGCTTTATTGTAAACTTTGTCAAAAATACTTATGTAACTGCATTGTGAGTCAAAAACTGAAGATTATAATTCTGTAAACTGAGAGGAAATGTCACTTGGTATTATTTGTTTGAATCTTTCCATTGATGTTTAGGATTATCCATCTTTGCTTATAATGCTTGTGAATTAAGGCTATAGCGAGTCAATACGCACAGTATGCACATATGCCAATAAGAGACTGATAAATTGCAGTCCTAAACATCAATAGGAAGATTCAAACAAATAATACTAAGTGAATTTAAACTTCACCCTATTGCACAAGCAAGTGGCTATTAGGACTCAGTAGCTGAGTGGATAACGCGATGGCGTTTGAAGCGAAAGGCACTGGGTTCGAGTCCCAGAGTGAACATCAACTCTGAGATGCAGGCACATCCAGCTGTCGAGTTCTAAATAGGACGAAATGCGCGTCCTGGACTCCACTACTAGCTACTACCCATCTTTGCTTATAATGAGAGGAATTGGATAAAATATACGCAAATGTGGTTAATAACAATACAAAACTGTAATTAAATGATAAAACTTAATGAATGGTAAAAGCAGGCAAAACAAGTAAGAATGAGTTGAATAGATTTGTTGTTAATGTGAAATTCACAAATAAAATGTATTAGGAAGAAAATCAATCCTAAAATTTTCATATCGATTTAAATTGATTTTTCATTGATTCACACTTGTTTCGATTAATTATTATGTATTTAGTTATTTGTTTTTTCATGTATTGATTAACTCACTGTGACTTTTTGTGTATAGTGACAATAACCCAGTGATTGAATTGAATAATTACTAATTATTGAATTGATATGTATAATTAAATAAATTCGAAAGTAAATTCATGATTCTGGGTTCTCGATCGACAAATCTTCAAAACAAAAACTGAACTTCTTTCTTCAGTTAACGGGGATGATAAAAGAGAACAGAAGTAATCTGGTTCATCATACTGAATTTGTGAAATAGTAGCTTAGTGCATAAACGCATCAAGATTGTTTACTTTTCGTGACCAATGAGCCAGCTACATTTCAACCCAATTAATCTTAATTGAATTAAGGTCTTCAATTACTGAGTTAAGTTAACTTGACAAAAAAATACGGAATGGGGCCGAGATAATGAAACCTAATGGAATTAATGATAAAACAATTCAAAGAAAAGTAATAACCACTTCGTTTGTGCAGAATATCCAGGAATAACAAATTTAAGTCACAATTTAGATATACATAATAGCCAATGAAACTCGCAAAGTATTATCCCATTGAGAGTTGATAATGGCTTTATAGGTAAACAAGATTGAACTGAGATAATAGAAACTTTGTTTTATTCTGGTATGCATATCATTATTAAAGTAGGCCATGAAAGTATCCTCAATTGTCAGGTTTCCTCCTCATATATGTAGTATACTCATGCAGAATATTTTCAAGAACTCACCATTAATCCTAACTAAAATCAGTCACTCGTTAATTCATACTTCATATTCCAAATCTAACCCTTTATAGTTCTCTTGGCCGTTTTAGTTCCAGTGCTTCGATCTTAATTTTAAGGAGAAATGTATTTGGATTCTATGGGGAGTATTCACATTTATGGTTTTCATTGGTTCTGTGGAGTATATTCTCCAAAATACTGATTCTTATTGGAATGATAATAGATGAATGGTCTGGCCTAAACAAAATATATCAGAAACTATTCGTCATCGACCCCTAAAATTCACTATCCATCTATGAACCAAACAATAACACATATTCAAGTGTATAAATCGCTTAAACATTTTACGTAAGTAACACTTACGATTCGAATTTGAAGGTTCTTTATTAGTTTTATGAAACCAGTCATGATTTGTGGCCGTGAATGAATTACGCAAAAGCAATACTCCGTGAAAAACTAGGACACAAACCCTGCTTCTAAGGCATCATTTTCTATTTAGCAAAAATCAGAACGATGATCTTGAAACTATTTAATCATTCCATTGATTTAGTTCTGTAAAATACAATAAGTGGTTCGTTGATGATGCACTACTTCGAGCCACATGTGACCAAGTTTTAAGAAATAAAATCAAATGACAACTTTGGTTCTTATTGAGGTGTCCTGATACAATGTCCTTTTTGTAATCATTGATAACCAATTAGGATCTGAGTCAAACTGTTTGTGAAAGCGAGTGATACCATCTAGCTGCTGAAACTAAATCAGGTACAGACAGGTCAGAACTTGAAAATAATTGTTGACGGATACCGATTCCTTGAAAAAAACACTAAGCGATGGAATTAATTTTTTGGCATAATGGATCCAGTTTCATTCAAGTTATTTTCGATGCAAACAATTGTATCCAGCGAATTTCACTTTGATTACAATTTTAAATTTAGTTTAATCTGATTTGAAAATTTACTTCTTGATTTGAAAAAAATAACAACTAGGCGCAGATGCTACGAAAACATGGTATCAAGAAATAGAAGATTACGATTTCAAGAAGGAAAATCAATTCCCTTGTGGTAAGCTTTCATTAACTTAGCTTGTCGATAATAAATTTGTGAATTATGTTTCAACAGAGATAATTAACAGACATACACATAATGCTGGATCTGAAGTTACTTGGTTACATGTAATATACTATTCGAAATCTCTCTGGATAGTTTTAGTTGCCTTGGTATCAAAACGCTTGATGCACTTACTAATCAAAGTGATCGATCAGTATGCCTTGCGTTTTTATTTTAGGGGTTAGATCCATTTTAATCATATTGCTGCTGAAGGAAAACACTTTCCAAGTCAATCAGTTTATATTAGTATTTACAGTGGAGATGGAAGGAGAAACTCAGATAATTCGGGGGTACTCAGTTGGCACTGCATAACGGATACGTTATTCGGGCAATAATCGACTTTTCCATAGTGAACTCTTCAGTCGCAGTGAGTCTTAGCTGATCATTTAAAAGGATATGAACAAACAAAATGAAGACGGTGTATACATTTGAGTACCAGGCTTAGAAACATAGAGATAGAATGAAAATACCATTAAGCTGTCTAAATAGAAGTGGGTCTTTCAGATCAAATAAGGAATGTTATGAAATCGGTTAAAAAGAATGGGCTCTTACAAGCAACACAGTGGTTGCGAATTGACTGATAAAGTACATTGACAGAATAAAGCTCATTTCAGTTAATAATAACCAGTCTTTTAATTTCTATTTGAACAGAAGAGTTTAGATGATTTATGGGAATTACTGGTACGTCACAGAATACATGTATACCATATTTCCGTGCTACGATAATTGTAACTGGCATATACTGTTTGTTGAGCTGATCATTTATATTCGGAGTGATTGAAAAAATACGGGTAACAACTAAAAACATTAGTAAAATCCGAAATAGAGTTAACCTTAGTTTTCAGAAATCTCTCAACTAGAGAAAATGATTTTCAAATTAGCAACTTTTCAATTTCGAGTGTACTTCATACTTTACAATTACTCTTGAAGCCCTTCTCTTTAATGTTTGTTTCAAAAGGACATTTTACACAAGTAGTATGGAAGTCGACTATAACAGCTGGATTTGGTAGAGCTTGGTCAAAGGATCGTCATAGTATTTATGTTGTCGGCAGATATGATCCACCTGGAAATTTTTCGGATGAATTTCTCGAAAATGTCCCACCCTTAATTAGTAAGTAGAAGTTATCTTGATTTAAACAAAATAACCTTGACGTGTACAAATAAAAAAGGTACGACAGATCATTCTGAATATCGGTCAGCAACCAACCAGCTGTGACTCACGATCAAGTCGTTTGATTTGTATATCTCTGTACTTGTTTTTAATGTCAATAATAAAGACAGTTCACATAATTTAAATATATCCTAAATTTTGATTACTTTGTACTTTAATTCATTTTTTTATAAATATTGAGTGAGTCAGATTCGATTAACAGTTTGGATCTACTAGTTCAGCCAGTAGATGATTTAACCAATAATGTGAAGGTAGCTAGTTTGAATTTCCCCACAACGCACATTTTTTAAACGCTAATTATTACACCTTGTAAGCTAAAGATGGAAAGTCAGTAGTTTTCTTTGTTTGAGTACATGGCTTAATTGTAAATCGGTAAACAAGTTTGCATAAAACTGAAATTGTGAGATTGTAGTCTCAGTGATCAAGACACTAGACTTTTACCGGTAATTTTGCGAGCTCAGTAGTATAACAATCACCACGAACGTTTAATTTTGTTGCTTAAGAGTGCCGTTATTACTTTACAACACGTTGTCACGTGAGATTGGTAAAAGCTAACGATAACAAATACAACCGAAGTATGAAGTTTGGATTTTATTAGATAATTACAAACAATAATAAAACCATACTCATCCAGACAAAGTAACGAATCCAACTGCTGGACAAGCCTTGGCAAAAAATACACGCTGATTTTGCTGGTCTAATAAAAGGTAGAAACCACTTGGTTGTTGTGGATGCTTTGACGAATTGGCCGGAAATATACGATATGCCGAACACGACGTCAGAGAATACAATAAGAAATTTTTCAAGGATGTTCGCTTGTTTCGGGGTTTTAGAGATATTAGTAACTGACAATGGTACTCAGTTCATGTAATTCGCTTTTAAACGGTTCTGCAGAGGAAATGGCATTACCCATCTACAACCTCCTCCGTACGATCCCCAGTCGAATGATCAGGCAGAAAACTTCGTGGATACGATAAGGACTTTGATTAATGAGGGAGGGAAGGATATTCCAGCAAGTGGTTAGTAACTTCTTAATGTCCTACATAGTTACACCCAATCCGGTTGTGCCAGAAGGAAAGCCCCCAGCTGAGTGTACGTTCGAACAGTTTTTAACAGAATATTGTCACCCAGAAAGACAAATAAATCTACAAGCGGGTACTAGCAGCTGCAACGTGAGTGAAAGGGTAGTTATCAAGTCGTATCAAAGTAATAGAAAATGGGAACGAGGTATTCTTAGATGTCAAATTGGAAAACTATTGTACTTAGTTTGGAGAAGTGTTGGGACATGTATAAGACACATCAACCAAATTCAAAGGAATGTTGGAATAACGATTACATAAAGCCGGTTCCTGTTTCAAATGCTAATCTCAAAAAAACCGTAAGGAGAACGAAAGCAGAAGATATAAAAGACGAAAGGCCAAGACAGAACAACCTTCAAGCGTTGTAGTATCGGTTTATATGTTAAACCCATGTACTTTATTCTAGCCATTGGCCAAGCCAATTCACCTATACATTATGAGTCATATTTTGATCTTGTTAATTATTCGCTTATTAACCTTGACTACTTTTTTATATGAGAGTATATGAGTGAACACTTCATATCTTATTCATCATGTCTGTCATTCATTTTTGTTTGACTGTAAATGTTGATTAACGCTTGCTTAAAATGAGTTGGCTTACCAGCCATCTCCAATGCGTCTTATTTATGCTTCGCTCGCTAACATTTGCTCATGTACTCACAGCTTTCTGACCTTCGTTATTTGTCAATAAAAATGTAGTTGCCGCTTCCCTTTGCCTTCTGATATTATGAACCGTTAAGACATGTATTATAACGGTTATCGAGGTGAATGACTAACGAAGCACGGCACTACAGCGTGATGGACAGCAAGATGAATGCGGTAACCAAGTTTCAAGTGAAGCGGAGCAGAAAGTCTTACACAAGAAAGGTGTAGTAACGGCCAACAGTGAACTTCAGGAAGCTCTGAAAGAGCTGAAGACAATCCACTCAATCATCTTTTGGAAAAAAAATTACAGAATCTCCACATGTACCTGCCCGATAGAACAAATACTAAAAATCACTGCATGCGAATTGGATGACTACAATGATGATTTCGTTTTTACTAAAAACTACAAATACCTGAGTGTTTTGTACCATATTTGACACTGTTTGGAATAAGATTCCTTTCCGCTCGTCTTGTCGTCTAACCTGCCTTAGAGTGCTCAAGTTGTACGCAGTATAGCAAGAATACAAATTCTAGACAAAGCACTATCCCTACGATAGACGAAATTTTTTACTTAAAGATATTGCGAAATATAAGTTATGCTTGTTTCCTATGCTACTGTATGGTTATTTGCAAGTTTTCATACGAGATAAACTGTGAATTATTGTTTCAGGTCTTCTAAATACTGAATAGGATTGTGAAATAGTTGAATGTTTACTCCAAATACAAAATTTGCAACCATTGTACTTAACCTAAAAAGAAGGAGGAAGGTAACAGCAATGTTCAACAAACGTTAAATAAAACAAACTACAACATGACTTTATTCAGACAAGAAAAGAGATGAATCACTTTAACGTAGTGATGATATGATTGATATAAACAAAATTGTTATTGAAGTAAGAGTATTTATTTATGAGAAATTATCCGTAAATAATATCGATAAAAATCAAAATAAATACAACAGTTGATTATGAATAGACCACCTCTGAGAGCTTCGTTATTGTGTTACGTCCCGTGAAACTATGGCTAATTTAATGATGTTTCTTCATTGAGTTCTATGAAGAGTAAGAGAAAAAGATGTATTAGTGGTATTTAAAAGTGCACAATCTGAATGCACGGGTTATATAAATAAATAAGATAAATTTTGTTCACAACTGTTTATCATCCTTTAACGTTATTAAATTGTCAAAAATATCATTGTTACAATTAAGACAAGAAATCATTTTACACAAACTGTAAGATACACTAGAAGCTATAAATATAATTTAACTTGTTCAAAACGATGTAAGATTCATTACCTCAAAAAATTGATTGACGAGATAGTGAATCTTTATCAACTGAGATGGTTGAGATATGTATGACGTTTGCCTAAATACTGACTACTTTGATGGTTGATGTAAGAGTAGGTAGAAGGAAAACTAAGCGTTGACTGAACCAAGATATAGTATCAGTCTATGAAGACACTGAATATAGAACTGAGCCATGTAGATAGGTCCAGACTACATGGTTGGGCTCCACGTGATTATCGTAACCAATGACTTAAAATTTTGGGTGACATGGTTCCAAAACAATGGACATGGTGTAGGATGCATTTCTCTTACATCCCAAGTTTCTAAATTACCTTATGAATTTTTTCCCATATTTTATTCCACTAGTCTATTTTTTTTCTTGGATTGTATCATTGACACTTAATCTTTTCTATCACAACTAGTACTGTTACTACCGTTACAACTCTTAGATTTCCTTTGACTAGTTTATCTTGCTGTGTTGATGGGGTGTGGCGACTTGAACTAATGAAAACATGTGACATGTTCTACGTTGTGTATTACTGACTTAACATTAATAGGTTGGTTATTGTATTTTATTTATTTTTGAACGCTAAGTACGGGTAGAAGAATAAAACACTTCGTGAGTTATTCATTATTGAATACTATATATATGAGAAGTCTGAGACTTGTATATATTCTTTGTACATGTACTTAGTTTTCAAATGTTACCAACATAACTTTACACATTTTGATTGTAATAATCGGTATTATGATTAGCTGTCAGAAGTGAGACGAAACCAATTACAGTCTATAATTTGATAGTGAATAACTGAGTTACATTAATTGATCATAGCATTAACCCATCCCACTACGGAAAGTTAAGCAAGAGGAACATTGTTCAAGTTTATATCATATTTATCAGGTTAGAGATAAAGGCAATATCATAACTATTGAGAAAAAATTGAATTTGAATATGTGACAAAACAATTGAAAGTCCACTATTTATACTACCAACCTACAGATCGAAAATATTGGTTTATAACATCTTTTTCTAATACAATATTCTTAACACCAATTTTCAGGTGCATCAGATCTGAATTTACTTAAACTTAACAAGTAGTTATCGACTATATAAACCAATAAATTTACAAATAACTTTGAGATTTTTGCAAAACACTCACCATCAAAATTAGTATCCATATCGAAAAATTCAACTGTTTTATCCTCGTCATCCTCGCTGAATGACACATACTCATCCTCTGATGATGATAAGTTTGCATGCACTACCTGGGTAGAAGTATCACATTCAGAATCTGTTACATTCAATGAATTTTTTCGAATGCGTTTACGTTTGCTTGGTCTATTGTTTTTATCCCCAGCTGTATTCTTCGACTGACTGGGGCGTAAAACTAGTATGATGTCAGGAATTTTACCTTCTGGAAGTTTTTCAAATTCCGTATTGTTTATATTGCAGTTTCGCAAATCTAACCTGAGTATAGTAATTTTATACACATTTGAATGTACAATAAGGTTAGAAATCAATCAATGTTACATAAAAATTTCTGTATAGCAAAATAACTTTAATTACTACTCAACAAAACGAGTAGCTGAAAATTCACACTAATATTCATCACTAGTAATCAATAAGATCAAAGCATTACATATATATATATACCAGAAAACATCGCTCGCCGATGTACGGAGTGGTTAGGGATACGTAAAACATATTCTAACCACCTCATGAGATGAAGATTTCCAACTTTCTCAGCCGATTTGCAGCTTTTACCAAGTAAGCTACGCTTGACCACAATATTGCTGACTCAGTCGCTCCATGAAAAGCGAGTAACGTTTCAATGGTACTTAGGATCAAAAACTTTCAGCTTATGTGTGTCTTTTACTTTCAAAGGTCATGTTTCACAGTAATACAGACTAAACTGATACGCAATATACAAACCCTTTGGTTGGGAAATAGAGATTTCGCCTCCACACAAGTGAAACAAGTTGGCAAAGGTCAAGTGAGCTTACGGAACTCATGTAGAGATTTCATCGAACACTAACCCATCAGGGCTGAACAGACTTCTAAGATAAGTGAAATGGTTAAGCGACTCCATTGTTTCACTATGTATCATTTGTTCAAACATTGATGTAAACTAGTCCTGACTGAAGCAAAACTTTGCATTCAGGAAAGGACAAACACTTGTATCCAAATATACTCTATTGTTGTTGAAATCAATTAAAAGATTACATTTTGTCAGCGTCTTCATTAAATTAGGACAGTGTTATCTATATATTCTAAGTAGTAAAGTGAACCTCTATGTGGGAGATTGATTACCTAGAAATTCAGACGACGAAACTGCTATCTCTAAAAGAATTCCTATGAGTTCGTTAAATAAAAAGTGGACAACCCTGATGAACACTACTTGAGATTGGCAATTCTAGTAAGATTTCGATATAAACAGAGTCGACGAACAGTGTTCAAGTTAACAGCTTTCGCAAGGTTTATGCACTCATTTGGCAAGTGTTTCAACGACAGAAATTACAAGAAAACCTCTTGGTCAATGGAGTCGAACGATGCCTTAAGGTCAAGAAACAAAACTATATTTGAATATCGGTAAATTTACCAGTATCTTAAAACCTGATGAGGAGTCAATATTAGTTTAATATATTCATATCTAGGTCTGAAAACAACCTGGTTTTCTCGGGGTTTTTTCTGTTTTAGAGCAGTGAATAAGCGTCGGATGACTATAGAGGTCAATACTTTAGGTACAACATTAGGCTAACTGATTCTTCTGTGGATATTACAATAGAATTTCTGTCCTTACGCATAAACTAGAATGATTATATTGGATTACGTCCACTTCCCAGACTTAAGCTAATATTCCAGCCAATCTGACAGCTGGAACTGAACCACCCTCTTTAGAGATTTCAGGAACCACTCCATCAAGATCAGTTATTCTTTCTTTCTTCAACTTAGACATAACATTGATAACGTCACGAAGAGTTTGATAACTTGTCATACAGGTTGTTTGGAAGTAGTAGTTAACTTACAAAATAGCTGGAGGTCAGTTGAACTATCCTTTTAGGAGTTTTGCTCATTGGTTTATTCTTCTAGACTGAAAGCCAATAGTTATTCCATCTTCCTCCGAAACAGTCTAACAGCTGGCTTATTAAGTTCTGTTTTATTGATAAGTCAGCATGCTTGTCTAGTATTACTATAGCAGCTACCTTTCCCATCTCCTTTTATTTCGTTACTCACCATCATTCATGATCATTACACAAACATTCCTAGTTTACGTTTGGGTTGTTGTCGCTTTTCATTACTCTTTGAGCCTGTTGTGATGAGTTTTCGAGTATCTATCAAGTCAGTAGATGTCTTTCCTAACCTTTCGATTAAAGTTGTAAGTTCATGTCACCACAGTATTTACAGTTACTTGGATATCATTCCAAGCTATGCGAATAACTAGGTGTTTATCTAATTTTTTACTATATGCATTCCTAACTCTCTTTTCTCCCAATTGATATCTAAGAAGTCTTTCTGATGTGAGTTTCCTATGTCCAGTAAAACGAATAGAAATGATTGCTCTCACTAGGATATGGTTGAAGTCCAATTATGTGTTCCATAAAGAGAGGTAGTCCTCTATACTGAAAGTTATGAAAAGGATTTCTACCTACTTTCAGCAAAGCCAACAGTTTCTGAATAACATTATTCATCAAAATCGAATCTTCATCAGTATTTTGACTACAGTAGGATAGGATTGATCAACTATTACACAGTCTTAAACATCACATAGACGTATTCGATCATAGTACATTTAATCCATTTTAAAATAAGATATGATTAAAACACTCAACCGAGCTTTTAAGCTACCTTTTTTTAACTCAAGTAATTTGAATGTCTAGATAAAAACGTTAAAAGCATTATGACAATCACACAATAATTATGAGGTGTTGATGATCAATATGAAACGGAATGGGAGAATAAAATCATATACCTGAAATTCGTATCAAAAAGCAAGGTCATTAACTTGAAGTTGTCAAACAGTTAAGTCCTAAACTTACCCAAGTACTTTGTCTCCAGGATGCAAAATACGGCCAAGATGAGATCTAGTATGAATTATACTACTATCTGATTCATTATCAAGCTGAACTAAACCTGTCTCGTTAGATGGATCTTTCATTACCCATACAGAGACTGGTGAGTGTTTTTGAGACAACTTTGCACCAACGGGATATGAAGTACTTGATGTAGTGTATGATTTTTTGGAAGAATTCATTTGGCTAGAATCATCTCTTTGTTCTTCAATTTCAAGCACAACAAATGGTGAAAAGTGTTTTTGTGTTGTTATTGACATGAATGGAGATGAGAAATAAGCCTTACTGTCTACATAACAAACTAAAAGAAAGTAAACCACATACAAAAAAATGGTTTAAAATAAGGCTAAACGAATGTAGTTAGGAGGACAAATTTCAACTAGTTAACAGTTAACAAAATTTGTTTACAGATTCAAAATATTTGGTCGGTATCATTTATCACCTTAAAGTTAGATGAACATTCGTCACGATACCAAACCCAAAGAAAGCCTGCAATTGTCGACTACTTATCCAAACAACTATTAAAAATTGACCTCCTTCTACTATTGGCGAAAAATTTGAATGTTTATGGACGCTGATTGCTGTCGAAATAAACCGCACACTAAAGTACAATAAAATATCAAAGACTGAAAAAATGACAAGATAAAAATAAACAACTCACCTTGACAAGTTAAAGGATCAATTAAATGTATGGCATCGGTAACTTTTCTGACAATACACAACTGACTGATACCACCCAACTTTTGTGACTGAGCTCGGGATAAGCAAACTATGTCATTCTTAGAAAAAAAAGTAGATGTGAAGATAGTTTTCAATAAATTGACGAAAGACCACAGAGGATTTAGAAAAACACCTGGACGTAAATATGACTCATTTTAAAATAAATTAGACTCTCACAGGTGATTCCTCCTTTAATTGCCTTACTAAGTTACTAGTAAAACTCAAAGGATGAAATTTGAATATTGATATCAGGTGATGATAAACGGTATCTAGATAATGACTATATCAAAATAGTGGTTATATTTACCTATTATTTATTTAAACACAAACATTGGTACAATGAGACATCAAAATATATGAGCAACACAAATCATTTGATTTATGCGCGGGCATGGATACTGCCCGGGCGCCTAAAACGAAGCAGGGGTGCATCAAAAAAATGAATGATTGGCAGTTCCTTGTACAAGGTTATATTTACAGTAAGTATTGAAACTAAATATTTTTCTATTATTATTTAGATTTAAAGAATTGTTAGTTACTTACATTACACAAAAAAAGACACTCATATGACGAATCAAGAAACCCGATTTTATCTATATTACTTATCCCTTCAGTTTATTAGAACCCCGTTGAATGAATAGTAAGGTTCTAAAAATTTAGTTTCAATAAATAAGAGAATAAGTAAAGACAGTATTAAAAAGGATATGGGCATTAAAAGTCACCTGATACTTACTGAGTGCTTACCAACGTAGAAACAATACCGTAAGAGACAAATCAGTCATATAGAAATAAAGTTGCTACTACTTTCTTAACCGTTATAGTCCAGTTTTGAACAGAATGGTATAAATTCAGCCTTAAACTATAGAAAATAATGAGATAAGTTTTGTTAATGAAATAGTACTTAGATAGAAGTGTTAGCGGGACATAGATTGGATTAAAGCATGTTTTATGCATGATGGTGTTGCTACGCGCTGATTGGCTAATTCTAAACCGATCAGCCCGGGCATATTATTAGAGAAAAATCTATAAGCTTCTTATGTATATACTATAAATATATGAACGTTATTTAAACTATTGATTGCTGTTCACATACCATTGTTATTTTGAATACAATTTCATTCCTGTTCAACGTGTTCTGATTTTGGGGTTTTGTCGAGTGTCATTGTATAAGAATACTAAGCAATAGGAGTAGCCGGGTCGTTTATTAGCAAATACAAATATAACAAGAAGATTTCAACAGTTTGCTTAAAACATAGACCAATTTAAATGAACAATGGTAATTAATTAATTATTTATTTATTTAAATGATCACTAGGCTACACTTACCTTACAAACTGGTGCAATTTCAACAGAAAATGTATATTTGTAATTGTAAGTATTATTATTTACATCATGCGACTTTAAATGTTGTGCAGTTTGATAGCTGGAAATAAAAACAAACAGAATAATATGAATAAATAAGAGTTGATAGGATATTTGGGAAATGTACCAGAATGAGAACAATACCTAACTCGTATGAAATAACCAGTTAAATCAAATGGTTAAGCGACAAAAAAACGTGAAGTTTAAACTTCTTATAACTTGTGGCCGCCTGGATGCCCTGTTAATGTATAACATGAGAATACCGCCAATTCGAGAGCAGTGAATTATCGATCGGACCAGTGACATACGAAACACGTACGAGCAGTCTAGAGTACTTGTCAGTCCTGCTTCTGCCTAGACCAGTCAGTTAAGTACAGAACACCAATCTCAGCCTCTACAGTATGAATCATTATATTTCAAACATACTGAGTTTATATACCAATCAAACAGACCACGTTGTACCATAAAATAGAAAATAACATCTGTACGAGATTCAGCGAAATGTGGTTGTGAATAGGGGAGATAGTAAGTGATAGACAGGGCATAATTCAAGAACGGTAAATCGTATGACAATAGTTCATATGTCAAAATAAAGCTTATAATATGGAGGACATGAATATTAATAGTTTAGTTATATAACAATTATATGATAAAAAATATATGCATAGTATTGGTTCATAAATGGATCCCAAAGCTTCCATTTAATATTCTTATCGGGACATAACAAAACTTATGATTTAGAAGTTGTGAATTGATTTTCTAAATATCTAAGGGACTTTACGATCAGACTAATGAACAATATTCTTATTCGCATAATTAAGAACCTCAAGAAACCAATTGTTTCATAACATAGCTAAGGAGCTGTTTTTCATAGATAATGACATTATTAGACTCATATTTGAGGTCAATTCATTGGATCAAATGAATTACTAGGAAATTAAATCACGGATAGATAAATAGACGGAATACTTTACAGAGAATTAAGAAAAATCACTTATACATTAGCTAGATATATAATGAGGCTGACAAGTACCATATAGCACGCAGTACAGGTCCAGTATTTCCTGTCAACTACATCTAACCACCTAGAATATTAACGCAGTACACGCGATGTGCAGTCACTTAGACTAATGAGTACATTGCAACCTGATCGATAAGATTAAACCAGAACTAAAGAAACAAACAAACATGATGCTGGTCACTACTCAGTGACCAATCAATTATAAATGTCATGAAGTTAATGTTGAAGCAAAATATTAGGAGCCATGATGTATTATCTTTATGTACATCTATTTGACAGGCCTGTGACAAAATGAAACGAAAAAGTTTAATCCTATCGCTAGTTATATCATCGGTTACTTATCGATATAAACTAAGAACATTTGATAACAGATTTTTTCCGATTTTTACTTAGATAACTTGCTTTTAAGTGAATTGAATTCTAATGACTTTTTCTGTTTAGCTTTTTTGACAAGATTCATTATAAAGGAATGGATTTAACAACTGTATCCCCAACCCCCTTTATCCAGACTTGGGACCGGTAGTAACACTAAAAGAGCTTGAAGTGGACAACCCTCATATAAATCAGGATTTTCAATGCAAACGACAAGACAGTTCTATCGTGCAAAGCTGAAACTTTGGGAATTACTACAACCAACACCAAGGACAGATGTTCAAAAACATCTGTCTACGCAAGATACTCCATATCCGTTGGCCGGACACCGTAAGCAACAACATACTGTGTCACGGAACAAACCGAAATCCAACTGAAGAGAAAATTGTGGAAAGAAGCTAGAGGTGGAACAATACCAGTCGAGTGAGAGCTTATGGCGAGCTGTCATCTAACTTTGAAACGTGAAGTGATGTCCGTCAAGGCTATCAACTATCCCCATTTTTGTTCAACTTCATAGACATACTGATGGACGCAACGTTCTATTAGACTGAATTTTCAGGAATTGATCTCCTACCAAGAGGTCCACATATCGACTTAGAATACACAGATGATATAGTCCTGTTTGGTGAAGACGCTGACAAAATTCAGAGTTTTTGTTAGAACTGAGTAATAATGCCTGAATGTTTGGGACGCGTTTCTCCCCCTCTAAATGCAAGCTGTCGCTCCAGGATTGGCCTACGTCAACACCTGAACTAAAAATAGTGAGTGAAGTAGTCGAACGTGTCGACAACTCCACTTATCTTGGAAGTCTGGTCAGCCCTAGTGGGTTGGTGTCTGACAAAATCTCGACACGGATTCAATAAGCTCGTTTGACTTCTGCCAACTTACGTCACCTACGGCGAAGACGAGATATACTGCACAGCAGTTCGTTCTGTTCTACTTTACGGCTGCGAAACGTGGTCATTAAGAGTAGAAGATACTAGTAATTGACCACAGATGCCTTAGAAATATTGCTCGCATTTGCTGGGATCACCAGGTAAGTAATAGTAAGGTTAGACACAGGGTATTAGGGAATGATGGTAAATCAGTTGATGAGGTCATGAAACTTCAACAACTGAGATGGTTGAGCCACGTGTTATGTATGCCTGAACACTGATTACAACGACGCGCAATACTGACTAGTATTGGCGATGGTTAGAAGAGAGTTAGGGGCGGTCAAACCTAAACATGGCATCAGTCCTTGAAGTCACTAACTTCTGGTCTGAGCCATGTTGGTAGATGCAGACTACCTGGTTGGGGTCCGCGTGACTATTGTAACCAATGGTTGGAGACCCTGGGTGACATGGCTCAGAATCGATCATAATGGCGTAGGTGTATACACTCTTTATCTTCCCTTAAACCTTGAGATTAAAATTGCTTCATAACTTTTTTTCCTTCCTATACTATATCCTTATATACAACCTTTCTTTATATACTACCACCACTAAATTAACTACTTCTATGAATCCAGTCTTCATCTTGTTGTGCTAACGAGGTATGGCAACTTGGACCGATGCATAAATGTGCCTGGTCCTACGTTGTCGCTGACTGACTGACTGAGAACATACATTGAAGAAACTACCAAAATGCATCACCAACCACGCCCTTATTTGGAATCCTGAAAGTAAAAGGAAAAGAGGCAGACCGAAGGGCGTTAAAAGAACAAATAGCACTTTTAAACAATTGGAAAAAAGATCCCAGAACGGAGAAGGTTGGAGGTTGCTGATCGGTGACCTATGCTCCATGAGGGTTATCAGACGTAAGTAATAAGTAGATTGAGGATATTTTTCAAACCTAATATTTACTTGAAACCATGAAGAGTGTATACAGAAAACGTGGAAACGTTTTATACTCAAAAAGTACAGCATATGTATAATTGAGTGGTCCGAAGGTTTAATGACAGATAAGAACCTTCGAGAGCTAAAATGAACAAAATTACAGTATCGGAAATCGAAATCAAAAATAATAACCATCACATTCTAATTGAGTGGGTTAATTCTAAGAGTTTCAGAATTTCGATAGTGGTCAAAATCAGTTATTATTTAGGTTTTTCGAGATGGGTGAACAAAACGATTTATTGCTTTCTAGTGACTGATAATTCCTTAGTTTGTAACTAAATACACACGAAAACTATGGGAATCTGGAAAAACGTGTATGCTACAATATACTAATATTTTATAGTAAACTACGTGTCGCGAACAGTTATAATGACTAGCCATAGCGAAAAAAGATACTGTAATAGAAAAAATATATTACACTGTATTTTGAGTAGTAGGTGAAATACATTTTACATTAAATGAGATACATCATTTTTTGATTTCTAGTGAAGCGACTCAACGATTTTAGTTTCAAAAATTTCTTTTTTGGTATTGACAACTACCAAAAGAAATTTTTATTGGAAATAGAGTAGTATACAAAAATATTAATAAAAAACCGATGAAATAACCATATTAGAATTCGAACAACAAATAAAGCAAATCTTATTACAGAAGCTATTATTTAACCAGATCGAACGCTGACTGAAGTGCATCCTGTGTTAATCAAAGAAAATTTAGACCGAAACAGGTGTTAGACTAAGAGCACGTGAACTTTCAGTCAATGTATATGCTATAGTCACTATTCTATTAGTTCAGTAAAGAATTTCTTGATAGCCAAGCTACAACTACTCCAGTGGCCTGGTGAGAAATTGACTAATTTTACTGAAAGTAATTTTCGAAGTCTAGGAAAATTCTGATGGAATTCGAGATAAGAGTATGTTTTAAGCCAGACGGTGTAGAGAAGAATATCAACTAATATCACGTTAAGTAACGATTTTACGTATTATTGCCACTTTTAAACATTCAAATCCAAGAAAACTATTGAACCTTCAGAAAAATGGATAAAGAATTCGGCATACAGGTCAGAGTGCAACGGAGAATTGATTAATCTATGCTATCAATGCTTGAGGAGTATAGAAAATAAACGGGATCGCTAACTGTATCAAAAAAAGAAGTGAAGCTCTAAAAACAAAGGATTGAAGTATATATATATATATCAATGAATTTAAGAAATTAAAAATAAAATGACCAAATCATCTACTTACCGGCAAGGAGAACGTTTGGAGAGAAAATTCACAAACGTGACTGCTTGTGAACGAGTGCTGAAAAAGAAGTCAATACCTCCTGAAAATTGTAAGAAGAAAATTAGGTATAAAAGAACGAAAGATTATAGTCAAGTTGAAATATTCAGCGTATCCCTATAAAATTGGAGTCATAAATATACTTAGACAAAGATTGGTTCCTATGAGAACTTTTCTAGCCAATTCGAGTCTTCTCTTAATGCGGTTTCACAAGGAAAAGTCAATATCTTTAGCTTTGCTTATGCGGACTCAGACTAGTATAAGAATAAAACCATAATATTTAAGACCCGAATCACAAATATTTACCATTATATCGAAGTAAATAACTACCTACCTGAAACTTGTTTGATATTTGAACAAGCTTTATGTGCACCAGAGCGAAGAATAACTTGTTCTAAATGCAGTAGTGTTTTTTTATGATCAACCTGCAGGACGAAACAGAGATTTAGAAAATGTTAATTCAATGGAGGGATTTTACAAAAAATTTTAAGGCGACTTAAAGTGTATTCTAGTGTACTGACAATAATTATTTGCCAAAGCTCTATCACCAACAGTAGGAAGAGGCCCTGATTCATGGTACAAGATAATTCCGTTGAGTAAATGGAGCTGGGTAACCTTAACAATTTAAAAAATGAATTACCAGATTAATAAATAAGTAATTTACAATTTGTTTACCTGTTGCAGAACAAGTAACGATCATTTTTTGTAGTCATTGTTTCCATCACACAAATGTATTGACTAGTTTAAAATAAGGATTAACGGACAAAGACTACAAGGCGACGTTTATACGTAGTCAGAGGCAAATAAATCTGATCAAAACTAGTGCCGAGGGCTAACAAATTTAAGGGGTCAATGGGGGGAGACTCACAAATTAACATCTAATAAGACCCACAATACCAAAAAACATCGATATGGTAAGTAACTAAATTAAAGATGGTATCGCACCTAAGTACATACTTAACATGTGTCGAAAAACATTATTCTTGGTATGTCACTAAAAAACAGTATGGTTTACATAATACATCTTAAGCTTAACAGGATTTAATTAAGATACTCCTTTCAAATATAATGTACAGGTTTCTACCAAGATCAGGTTTATTTACTCGGTTATGAAGCTAACCGTCTGGGTGAGCATTGGTGATACTATTCGGCTGTTTATTACAAAGTACAGTGAGGCTTTAATCTGTCTTGCTAGTCAAAAGGTGAATGTTTTAACCATTAAGGGGGTTTATTTTTTGCCTAAGGTAAATACAGCGCGATAAACGTTGTGTAAAAAGGGCTAGCTCATTCTAATACTGAATGTTGCGGCCAAATAAGCGTTTGTGGCAATTCAAAATATGGATACTAAGATAAAAAGCAGTAAAAACCTTTCTTAAAAGATGTTGGAGGCTTTACACGAATCTGCTTCGGTTTGGGCACCTAGGCAGCATCACAGCCCTCACGAAATCCAATGAGATTTGTGTGGCGCATATAAATCTGGTGCCCCATTGTACCAATATTTATGTGTTTAAATAAATAAATTACACGAAACGTTTGAATATTTCCAACCTTATCAGGTGTTATGAACCAAAAGTTAGAGTAAACGGCAAAGTTTTGATACAGGAGTGATAAAACTAAATGTCTCAGCTCATTCGATAACCAGCGTTGTAATGGAAACCAAGGAGATACTTATAAGTAACAAAATCACGAAGGTTCTCAGATGTTTAACCCATGTTTACAATCTGAGAGCATGCGAATGATATATGAAGAGTGCTTTAAAACGGATTCTATGTAAACAATTTTTTAAAGGAAGAATTAGTAGTATGACCATATTAGTAAAAACAAATGATCTTTAGCCGGACGAGACATAAAACCCCGATACTTAGTTGATAGTAATTCAGAGGAACTGGCTTAACAAGTACGAGTTTGCGAAATAGGTTTTGAGTCATACATATTGTTTCACTATCAGAAATATAAAACAGCTGGTCAAGTTATGATTAAGTCGATATCAAGAAATATCACTATAAGGTATATACAACAAAGGAAAATCAGTTACTAATAAATGCCCTGGTACGGCCAAGAGTGGGGAGAGTCCGCTCTCCCTCTCGAAATGCTCTCACATGGCCACGCGTTTAAACCCCTGCCAGGGAAGTCCTACTCACTGCCTTCTCGTGGCGGGTGTTGTTTACGTGAGAGGACGAAAAGCGAATGTCCGGCGCTATAACCGGGTTGGTGATATGAAGGATTTTATTTATTTAAACACAAATATTGGTACAAGGAAGCACCAGACACATATGCGCCTCACAAATCTCATTCGATTTGCTTGAGGGCTGTGAAACTGCCCAGGTGCCCAAACCGAAGCAGGTGGTTTTCTTAGGGGGCCACACCTTGAGCCTTTGGCCTGGAGGTCTAACGCACAAGGCAGTGGAGCATCGTGAGGAGATGCAGTCCCATGGTAGCCGGTGATCAACGATTGATTCGTACGCCATTTGTTCCATCAGGATACTGGAGCCCATGTGCACCATTGGTTTGGAATCAGGGTTTTCCAACTCCCCTAGGTGGACTCGAACTGTCCACCAACCCGTTTAAAGCGCCGGACATTCGCTTTTCGTCCTCTCAATTTCGTAAACAACACTCCTGCCACGTTTAGGTGGGTGTTTTAGTATTCCAGCCCAACGAACCGATAATGGTGATCGTCTGTTGCAACTATGCTCAGACAATTGTTTACTTTTAGCAAGCACTAATTTTAAGCATAAGGATAGACATCGTCTAACATGGCGACCACCTGCACCAAACCAACAATGGACTCAAATAGACCATATTGTCATCAGTCATCGTTGGAGAGGCTCAATAGAAGATTGTCGCTCGTATTGGAATACTTGTTTAGACTCTGATCACGCTTTAATACGAGCGCGCATTTGGTCTGCGCCTCAATGGACGCAGGAAAAGCACACTAAGAAGACCCATTAGGATTGAACTGGAAGACGAGAAAACCAAATGCGAATTTCAGAAACAACTGAGTTCACATCTAGGCAGTTCTGTAAACGAGACTTACCCAGATGCTGCTTGGAAAGACACACGAACAGCTGTGGTAAAAGCAGTAACATCTATTAGTTATTTAAACCATAGGGCTCCAAAAAACCAGTGGATTTCTTCTAAGTCTATTTCACTAATGGATTCGCGTAAACTCATCCCATCAGGCTCTGAACACGACGAAGAGCGTAAAGAAATTAGATCTAGGTTAACTAAAAGTCTAAGGAACGATCGTGAGCAGTGGTGGGCAACGAAAGCAAAAGAGATGGAAAATGCAGCGGCTGTAGGCAACACCAGGCAACTATTCAGACTAATAAAAGAAACCGGAATTAAGAAGTCAAGTGTAAGTGAGACAGTCTCGGAAAAAGACGGAACCCCCATCTGCTCTCAACCCAAACGTTTAGAACGATGGGCGGAACACTTTAAGGAACAGTTTAGCTGGCCTTCAGCTACTGCACAACTACCCACTATTCCTAGAAAACCTGAATGGAACATTGAAGTAGGCCCCCCGACCCTACTTGAAGTTCAAAAGGCTATAAGCAATCTGAAACGAGGAAGAGAAGCTGGTCCAGATGGATTGGCTCCAGAGGTCTTTAAATATGGTGGTCCAATTTTAGCGATTAGGTTGACTAATATTCTGGCTAAAATTTGGGAAACGGACGTAATCCCATCTGACTGGTCACAATCACTGATTGTCCCAATATATAAGAAGGGGTCAAAATCATCCTGTGATAACCATAGAGTGATTAGTCTGACTAACATAATATCTAAAATACTAGCCACAATAATTATCGGACGCCTAACTAAGACTTGTGAACTGCAAACACGAGAAAATCAGGCTGGCTTCAGACCTGGTTGTCGCTGTATCGACCACATATTCACCATTCGTCAAGTTTTAGAGCACAGACATGCTTATCGGCGTCCGACAGTGATAGTTTTTCTTGACTTGAAAGCAGCATTTGACTCTGTAGACCGAGAGGTTCTGTGGCAGTGTCTGTCATTGAAAAGTGTACCTGAGAAGTACATAAACCATGTGAAGGCTCTTTGCTCGAACACTACCAGTCGAGTGAGAGCTTATGGCGAACTGTCATATGATTTTACAACCTCAAGTAGTGTCCGTCAAGGCTGTCCACTATCCCCATTTTTGTTTAACTTCATTATAGACCTGTTGCTGGAAATAACACTGTCTTCGACTGAATTTTTAGGAATTGATCGCCAACCAGGAGGTTCACTTATCGACTTAGAATACACAGATGAAATAGTCCTATTTAGTGAAGACGCTGGCAAAATGCAGTCTTCTGTTAGAACCGAGTAATAATGCCAGGATGTTTGGGATGCGTTTCTCCCCATCCAAGTGTAAATTGTTATTCCAGGACTGGCCTGCGTCAACACCTGAAGTAAGGATAGGGAGTGAAGTAGTCGAACGCGTCTACAATTTCACTTATCTTGGAAGTCTGATCAGCCCTAATGGGTTGGTGTCTGACGAAATCTCAGCACGGATTCAAAAAGCACGTTTGGCTTTTGCCAACTTACGTCACCTATGACGAAGACGAGATATCCGTCTATCAATTAAGGGACGAGTATACTGCGCGGCAGTTCGCTCTGTTCTACTTTACGGCTGTGAAACATGGCCAATAAGAGTAGAAGATACTCGTAGGTTACTAGTATTTGACCACAGATGCCTTAGAAATATTGCTCGCATTTGCTGGGATCACCAGGTAAGTAATAGTAAGGTTAGACACAGGGTATTAGGGAATGATGGTAAATCAGTTGATGAGGTCATGAAACTTCAACAACTGAGATGGTTGGGCCACGTGTTATGTATGCCTGAACACCGATTACCACGACGCGCAGTACTGACTAGTATTGGCGATGGTTAGAAGAGAGTTAGGGGCGGTCAAACCTAAACATGGCATCAGTCCTTGAAGTCACTAACTTCTGGTCTGAGCCATGTTGGTAGATGCAGACTACCTGGTTGGGGTCCGCGTGACTATTGTAACCAATGGTTGGAGACCCTGGGTGACATGGCTCAGAATCGATCATAATGGCGTAGGTGTATACACTCTTTATCTTCCCTTAAACCTTGAGATTAAAATTGCTTCATAACTTTTTTTCCTTCCTATACTATATCCTTATATACAACCTTTCTTTATATACTACCACCACTAAATTAACTACTTCTATGAATCCAGTCTTCATCTTGTTGTGCTAACGAGGTATGGCAACTTGGACCGATGCATAAATGTGCCTGGTCCTACGTTGTCGCTGACTGACTGACTGACTCCTGTCATGAGAAGGCAGTGAGTAGGACTTCCCTGGCAGAGGTCCTACTCACTGCCTTCTCGTGGCGGGGGTGTTGTTTACGAAATTGAGAGGACGAAAAGCGAATGTCCGGCGCTTTAAACGGGTTGGTGGACAGGGCGAGTCCACCTAGGGGAGTTGGAAAACCCTGATTCCAAACCAATGGTGCACATGGGCTCCAGTATCCTGATGGAACAAATGGCGTACGAATCAATCGTTGATCACCGGCTACCATGGGACTGCATCTCCTCACGATGCTCCACTGCCTTGTGCGTTAGACCTCCAGGCCAAAGGCTCAAGGTGTGGCCCCCTAAGAAAACCACCTGCTTCGGTTTGGGCACCTGGGCAGTTTCACAGCCATCACGCAAATAAATGGAATGACACATTCAACTGACAACTCCATTCTCGCTCATACTAGAAACAAAACAAGTTGCATTATTACTGTTATTATTATTATTATTTACCATATCGCTAATTCACCCCCTTTTATCCCCAATTTGTGTAACCGTACTCTTCAACTTATGCAGCAGCTCGCCCATGGTGGAAACTCTGTCCTATCTAAACGATCTCCAATCACTGTCTGGTTGAAAGTGAATGCTTCCACTGATTATGAATACTGAAGCAGTCTTTCTGAAACCCCGTACACAGTTCAAGCTGGCTTCCTTCAACGTTCGCACACTAATGCAGATCGGACAACAGATAGGGCTGGTTATGTCTTTAGAAAGTCTTAATGTTGATGTTTGTTGTCTATCCGAGACCCGTATTCAAGACTCTAGTGAAGTACTACAAATTCGCTCTCTATCTGTCACCTCGAAAAGCTTGTTCCACGTGCGCTTATCCGGGGACCCTGTGGCATCTTCGTCTGGTCTTGCTGGTGTTGGTGTCGCACTAAGCGCTAAAGCTGAAGCAGCACTAATCGATTGGATCCCCATTTTAACAGTCGGTTATGTGCTGTGAGATTAGAAAGTTCCATCAAAGTGAGAAGAAATCGGCGTGAGAAACGGTGTCTTTTCGTCATCTCCGCCTACGCCCCGACAGATTGCAGCCCGGATGCAATCAAGGATGAGTTTTACCATCAGTTAACAGTTCTTCTCCAGAAAGCGCGTTCGACAGATATTGTAGTACTAGCCGGAGACTTGAATGCACAGGTCGGACGTCTAGGCACGGAAGAGAGTCGTTTAGGTGGCCGATGGGGACTTGTTGGTCGCAGGACAGATAACGGGGACCGTTTGCTACAACTGTGCACAGACCACAACCTGTTTCTGGCGAGCACTAACTTCCGGCACAGTCATCGCCGATGTGCCACCTGGCGTCCTCCCTCTGCATCCCAAGCCTGGACTCAGATTGATCACATCGCGATCAGCTACCGCTGGCGTGGTTGTGTACAAGACTTCCGCTCCTTTTGGAGTACCTATCTGGAGTCTGATCATGCCCTGGTCTGCGCCAATCTCACCTTACTTTTCAGTGACCGAAGGAATGACCGCCATCAACGGATCGATGTTAGTAAACTGGCTGCAACTTCTGTTGCAAGTAAGTATCGAGCGGAGCTAACTTCTAGGCTAGCTACCATCCCACTGAAAAGTATAGATGAGCATTGGTTGCTTCTTCATGACGCCATGAAAATGGCGAGTAAAGCCACTCGCCTCTTCGCGAAACATCCCGCTTACAAGCACTGGGTTTCTTCTGGCTCCTTACAATTGATCGAAGCCCGTCAGTCTACTCCGGGTGACCGTGAGTTTGACCACAAACGAAGGCTGTTACGTAATGAAATTGGGTAAAGCTTGCGTAAGGACCGAGAAGTCTGGTGGTCGGAGTGTGCTAATGAAATGGAAGCAGCAGCTGCATCTGGTAACTGCCAGAAGCTCTTCCAACTCATCTGAGCCACTGGCAGCAAGAAGTCTGGTGTGAGTGAAACAATCTACGAGGATGACGGGATGCCAATCACTAACATCTGTCGACGTCTTGGACGATGGGCGGAATTTTTCGAAGGGCAGTTCAACTGACCTGCTGCTCCGGCAACATCAACCAGCTTGTCCTGCCCCCCCATGGCCGGTGACGACTGATCCACCAAACGAGGCGGAAGTCCACAAGGAACTCCAACTGTTGAAACGCTACAAATCACCGGGCCCAGATGACTTACCTCCGGCTCTTTTTAAAGATGGTGGTGACTTTTTGAATAAGGAACTGACTGTGTTGTTTGCAAAGGTTTGGGAGCTAGAAAGTGTTCCAACATCATGGAATGAGTCAATAGTCGTCCCTATCTTTAAAAAGGGTTCACGCTGTTCCTGTATTAACTATCGGGGGATAAGTCTACTTCCGATTGCGTCCAAACTATTGGCTCCTGTCATTCTTCGTAGGTTGTTTAAAACCCGAGAACGATTGACTCGCGAGGAGCAAGCTGGTTTTCGTTCTGGTCGAGGATGCATTGATCACATCTTCACCCTCCGCCAAATGTTAGAACACCGTCATACTTATCGCAGGCCAACAATCGTAGTAGAGCCTACTGTAACCTTCCTTTACTTTCTTCATAAAGAGTGGCTACAACTTTCTTAACTAGGAGAGCTCTTCTGGTTGTACATTTCAGTTCCACCCCTATCATTACTCTTCTTTTTTTCCTTCTTTTATATATACTTATCTTCTTCCTTCTCCTCCCATTCTGATTATTTTGTGTGGCGCATATGTATCCGGTGCCCTTTGTACCAATATATATGTGATAAAATAAATAAACATAAAATAACCATATAATTACTAACGAAACGTCTATTTATCGCTAAGTTTCCTTCAAACAAAATGAAGCTTACTTTTTGACGAACTTGGACGCAGGCATTCCAAAAATCTTTGGCAGCGTTACGAGTACATGAGGTACATTGTTGAGTGTGAACTGTGAAATCGATTGGAATTTGTTGTTCAACACGATCACCTGTTTGTAATGTTCCCTGCACGGTTATCTAGGAGAATATTCCCAAAACGTTAGATTTGAGGTTTAATATGTTTGAAAACCAATAAAATTCAGAGTTATTTAGGAAATATTTATGTGACATCGAATTTTCTCCAGAAATGCACATTTACTCAACATTTATACACATAATTCTAATAATCGAGATAGTTATGTAGTCATGTGTTAGTGGCATCTGAAATACTAGCCCCAATAATTATCGGACGCCTAACTAAGACTCGTGAACTGCAAACACGAGAAAATCAGGCTGGCTTCAGACCTGGTTGTCGCTGTATCGGCCACATAATCACTATTCGTCAGGTTTTAAAGCACAAGCATGCTTATCGGCGTCCGACAGTGATAGTTTTTCTTGACTTAAAAGCAGCATTTGACTCTGTAGACCGAGGGGTTTTGTGGCAGTATGTCATTGAAAGGCGCACCTCAGAAGTAGATAAAACTTGTGAAGGCTCTTTGCTCGAACACTACTAGTCGAAGCAGAGCTTATGGTGAACTGTAATATGATTTTACAGCCTCAAGTGGTGTCCGACTAGGCTGTCCAATATCCCCATTTCCGTTTAACTTTATTATAGACCTGTTGCTGGAAATGACACTCGTCGACTGAGATGGTTGGGCCACGTGTTATGTATGCCTGAACACCGATTACCACGACGCGCAGTACTGACTAGTATTGGCGATGGTTAGAAGAGAGTTAGGGGCGGTCAAACCTAAACATGGCATCAGTCCTTGAAGTCACTAACTTCTGGTCTGAGCCATGTTGGTAGATGCAGACTACCTGGTTGGGGTCCGCGTGACTATTGTAACCAATGGTTGGAGACCCTGGGTGACATGGCTCAGAATCGATCATAATGGCGTAGGTGTATACACTCTTTATCTTCCCTTAAACCTTGAGATTAAAATTGCTTCATAACTTTTTTTCCTTCCTATACTATATCCTTATATACAACCTTTCTTTATATACTACCACCACTAAATTAACTACTTCTATGAATCCAGTCTTCATCTTGTTGTGCTAACGAGGTATGGCAACTTGGACCGATGCATAAATGTGCCTGGTCCTACGTTGTCGCTGACTGACTGACTGACTCCTGTCATGAGAAGGCAGTGAGTAGGACTTCCCTGGCAGAGGTCCTACTCACTGCCTTCTCGTGGCGGGGGTGTTGTTTACGAAATTGAGAGGACGAAAAGCGAATGTCCGGCGCTTTAAACGGGTTGGTGGACAGGGCGAGTCCACCTAGGGGAGTTGGAAAACCCTGATTCCAAACCAATGGTGCACATGGGCTCCAGTATCCTGATGGAACAAATGGCGTACGAATCAATCGTTGATCACCGGCTACCATGGGACTGCATCTCCTCACGATGCTCCACTGCCTTGTGCGTTAGACCTCCAGGCCAAAGGCTCAAGGTGTGGCCCCCTAAGAAAACCACCTGCTTCGGTTTGGGCACCTGGGCAGTTTCACAGCCATCACGCAAATAAATGGAATGACACATTCAACTGACAACTCCATTCTCGCTCATACTAGAAACAAAACAAGTTGCATTATTACTGTTATTATTATTATTATTTACCATATCGCTAATTCACCCCCTTTTATCCCCAATTTGTGTAACCGTACTCTTCAACTTATGCAGCAGCTCGCCCATGGTGGAAACTCTGTCCTATCTAAACGATCTCCAATCACTGTCTGGTTGAAAGTGAATGCTTCCACTGATTATGAATACTGAAGCAGTCTTTCTGAAACCCCGTACACAGTTCAAGCTGGCTTCCTTCAACGTTCGCACACTAATGCAGATCAGACAACAGATAGGGCTGGTTATGTCTTTAGAAAGTCTTAATGTTGATGTTTGTTGTCTATCCGAGACCCGTATTCAAGACTCTAGTGAAGTACTACAAATTCGCTCTCTATCTGTCACCTCGAAAAGCTTGTTTCACGTGCGCTTATCCGAATATCTAGTAGCTCGATCTCTCAAGATGCTTAGTGATGTAAGAGAAATAACAAACAGAAAGAAGCGCTTCTGTTAAGATACTAAATGAAAAATAGGACAAAAAACAACAGAACGTGACGTCTTCTCGCCTAGTATCTCTTGTAAATGACGCTTTTCCTAATTCTTCACAAATCAGGACAAGAACTAAGAGCGAACAATATATATTTTAATAACTTAAATCAACGGATAGAGGAAAAATTAACGTCAGAATCCACCATCTTGATCTATTTGCCAGAGCTGATCGGTCGAAATTGGGGTATTAGAGCATTCTGATTTGAGCCTGGTCAGAGAGGGGCATAGTCAGGAATCTATCCTGCTAACATAATTCCTATACTGAAGTTTGTAATAAGCGAATGTCGAAATCACACATCAGATGTGCACAAGCACAGAATTGTTGAGAGACTAATGTTTACAGGAGCATTTTCTTATAAATGATGTGGTTTGTGTTAAGAGGTAAATTCGAACTAGTATATGCCAACTCTCTTTTCATGTGACCCCGACTACTACAAAAACACAGGTCTTGAGAATATTTTATTGATAAAGACCTCGAAAGAATCAAACTAGGTTCAAGTTCATTCAGTTATATGCCAATTAAATTTACTGATTACTGGATACAGAAATTATCAACTGATCAATTGTCGCTTGAATGGGAAACCACAGTTAAGTATAAAACAGATGCATTGAAGGTCAAATGGAAAAAGTTAACACTGAATAAATTATTACTCAAGGTTAGTGAATGACAATCACCTTAAATCAATAAATATACTTTGAAGATGATTTAGCTATATCACGTTGCATTCAGGAACACAGCTAAGGAGACAAAGTTCTTTTTTCCCTTGTGGTATATATATATATATATATATATATATATATATATATAACAGGATGTTTGTTTTTAGAGATGAATTCGTACCAATCGACTCCGCTTGTATGGCAAGCTATCTATAAACATAAGTGAGATGAGAGTAGCCAAATACAAAACTGCCAAATGGCCAGTATCTTTCTACATTCATTACCCAGAATACAGTGCCTGCAGTCAGCCATTAATCCTGTCCACAGTATACACCCATGATAAGCAAACGTGTGACCTAATCTAGTATGATGTAACGCACTTCATGATTTCGATTATTTAGACTGTCATTTTAAATTTATTAGTTTAGCAACAAACTGTTAAGCCAAAAAGCAAGAGTTAAATTAGTACCTCTATAGATATTCTTCTACTATGAGGCTCTGTCCATATAAACCTAGCATTCCGAACTTCCAAACCTTTCTTCAGTCCACGGATCTTCTTGATGCATAATGAAAGCAGTTCTGGTGACTCTGGTTCGGCAGAAACCCAATTAGATGGTGGGTTTAAATAACTGAAAGCAATAAGAGAATGTATGTGTCCTACCGTTCACATTTCGGACAAAAGGTTACAGTGTTTTGACGGTCGATGTGTTCAGCAATGTCTGCCTCACTGGATAGGCATGTGAAACACATATTTGCAGTATTAGAATACATCTGAACGCCACATTTGCAGCAAAGACTGAATCCAAGTAATTTCTAGTTTTCAACTTACATTAAAGATAGACCTTGATTAGACATCTTTTACGAATGGATTTTGTGATACAACACAGACAAATATTTACTTAGCGGCTGAAAGTGAAACGAATTTTAAAATAAGAAATGAAGTTCATTAGGGAACAAGGATGTAGGACAGTAATTTATAGTAGTGGTACTTAAAACAAAATTGACCTGATAAGAAAGATCAGCATTAGCTGACCACACTAATTAACTGCTAAATCTTGATAGACTGAATAGTTCTCTGAAACTTAACTACCTAGTTTTCGTTTGTCCCTTACAAATGCTTGTAACTCGTACATACTGTTAACTGCCTAATTGGTGTTGTGCAAAACGCAACATACATCCAGACGGATATTCGTGAGTGAATTTAAAAAGCCATTGACTGATGTCCGAAATGCAGCTCTTGGTCGCAGAAATTTAGCCCGTTGACTGCTGCCATACGCACATGACCATCTTGTTCGCTTAGTGGCTTCCAAAATCAATCATGAGCAAATCGTCAAAGATTTATCTGGAATTACTGTCTATTCTGTGCGCTAAACATTTGTGCTCAGTAAAGGTTGCAATAAATTCGGTTAGCGCAACTATGCGAATAGATTATTTTCCTAAAACTTGATTATACCTAATATTAATGAAGACTTGTACGCAACAGAAAACGGAATTTACTAAGGTTAGCACACAGTACCTAGAGGTTAACCCTCATTCGAACACACGTGATGTCCTATTTTTTAAATGTGTGAGACCTTGATAATCTTTGTAACAGATTCGATTAACAACTACTATTTCTGGAGTACAGAAAACGTAGTTTCTTAAGGTCGAAATCTCAAGTTTTTAATTTTTTCATTGTATAGAATATCGTTTCTGATTGAGATGGAGCATCTGAATGCGACCGTTTTTCTTTCACTCTCCTCATAATGCTATAGAAGGTTACTAGATCTTCGATACCATCCAGTCAGGTCATTTCTGGTCAATATTCTAAATGAATTTGGAAAGGGACCAAGAGTTTGATGATGCCGCATGTCTGTGATGTTTCACTCCTCTGGTAATTCATAAAGTTGATTTTGTTTGTTATGCTGACTATAACACCACACCTGTAAGATTTATTTTACTTTATCCATTAAAACACCTTTGTTTTTCGTACGAGACAGGCTTCTAATGGTAGTGATGACACAGAGTGTACTTCTATAAAAGTTGCCTCTGACTTATTTGACATACCTGAACTCGTAGTAACCGCCGTAAATGACATTATGGGTTTCAGACCCATATCATATAGGGTAAGTAACCCAAGATTCTGGTTTGTACGGACAGAAGCCTTGTTTCATACACGAAGAATCCGGTCACATGCAGAAGTCGGAGATTTATTCGACCAAGCCCCAGAAGAAGACTTATATGATGAACTCAAAATATCAGTCATTCGACGCACATCAACTTCAAACGAAAAAGACTTTAACAGCTGTTGGCAGCACGCAAAGCAGAAGATAGAAAACAGTCACAACTGTTACACTTGGTGGAGCAATTAGCTAGGTTGTATAAATTAGGTGAAGGATTGTTAAGGCAAACATGAATACAACGGTTACCCTATAAAGTGAGACAGATACTCAGTGTGTCAGGAAGGTCAATCAATCAGAAGGATGACTGAATGATGGGAGTCTACCCTGACTACCCCAGTGTAAACACACTACAAGCTACCGACGAAGAGAGAACCAATTAAATGGCAACACTCCACCAGTTGTTTGATTTGTCCAATATATTTGCAGCACTACAAGCAACTATATCCACTTTTAATAAGATACGAGCTACATTGTCCTCTAAAAAGAAGTCATTTTTTAGACAGCACTCTGAGTCCCCTAGATCACCCCCAGAAGTATCTTAGTAGCACCAGAAGTATGGTAGCACGGTACAAATATGTACATGGCCATGAAAATTTTTACCATACAGCGATGAAAACTAGGGGAACGTGACAGACAGATAGTCATTGTGGTCAGTGTTTCTAGTCTACTGACAAGCCATCACCTGCATGCCATGATTAATATTTCTGGTAGTTAATTTTTGATAGGTGCAGATGCGAAAATTGGCATAATCACACTGACATTATCACGGAGGAAAGGCACCTTAGGTAGGAAATTGTTACTCCATATGGCCAAAGAAGCCACTATCCGTACGTACGGTACGCAACATACATCCAGACGGATATTCGTGAGTGAATTTAAAAAGCCATTGACTGATGTCCGAAATGCAGCTCTTGGTCGCAGAAATTTAGCCCGTTGACTGCTGCCATACGCACATGACCATCTTGTTCGCTTAGTGGCTTCCAAAATCAATCATGAGCAAATCGTCAAAGATTTATCTGGAATTACTGTCTATTCTGTGCGCTAAACATTTGTGCTCAGTAAAGGTTGCAATAAATTCGGTTAGCGCAACTATGCGAATAGATTATTTTCCTAAAACTTGATTATACCTAATATTAATGAAGACTTGTACGCAACAGAAAACGGAATTTACTAAGGTTAGCACACAGTACCTAGAGGTTAACCCTCATTCGAACACACGTGATGTCCTATTTTTTAAATGTGTGAGACCTTGATAATCTTTGTAACAGATTCGATTAACAACTACTATTTCTGGAGTACAGAAAACGTAGTTTCTTAAGGTCGAAATCTCAAGTTTTTAATTTTTTCATTGTATAGAATATCGTTTCTGATTGAGATGGAGCATCTGAATGCGACCGTTTTTCTTTCACTCTCCTCATAATGCTATAGAAGGTTACTAGATCTTCGATACCATCCAGTCAGGTCATTTCTGGTCAATATTCTAAATGAATTTGGAAAGGGACCAAGAGTTTGATGATGCCGCATGTCTGTGATGTTTCACTCCTCTGGTAATTCATAAAGTTGATTTTGTTTGTTATGCTGACTATAACACCACACCTGTAAGATTTATTTTACTTTATCCATTAAAACACCTTTGTTTTTCGTACGAGACAGGCTTCTAATGGTAGTGATGACACAGAGTGTACTTCTATAAAAGTTGCCTCTGACTTATTTGACATACCTGAACTCGTAGTAACCGCCGTAAATGACATTATGGGTTTCAGACCCATATCATATAGGGTAAGTAACCCAAGATTCTGGTTTGTACGGACAGAAGCCTTGTTTCATACACGAAGAATCCGGTCACATGCAGAAGTCGGAGATTTATTCGACCAAGCCCCAGAAGAAGACTTATATGATGAACTCAAAATATCAGTCATTCGACGCACATCAACTTCAAACGAAAAAGACTTTAACAGCTGTTGGCAGCACGCAAAGCAGAAGATAGAAAACAGTCACAACTGTTACACTTGGTGGAGCAATTAGCTAGGTTGTATAAATTAGGTGAAGGATTGTTAAGGCAAACATGAATACAACGGTTACCCTATAAAGTGAGACAGATACTCAGTGTGTCAGGAAGGTCAATCAATCAGAAGGATGACTGAATGATGGGAGTCTACCCTGACTACCCCAGTGTAAACACACTACAAGCTACCGACGAAGAGAGAACCAATTAAATGGCAACACTCCACCAGTTGTTTGATTTGTCCAATATATTTGCAGCACTACAAGCAACTATATCCACTTTTAATAAGATACGAGCTACATTGTCCTCTAAAAAGAAGTCATTTTTTAGACAGCACTCTGAGTCCCCTAGATCACCCCCAGAAGTATCTTAGTAGCACCAGAAGTATGGTAGCACGGTACAAATATGTACATGGCCATGAAAATTTTTACCATACAGCGATGAAAACTAGGGGAACGTGACAGACAGATAGTCATTGTGGTCAGTGTTTCTAGTCTACTGACAAGCCATCACCTGCATGCCATGATTAATATTTCTGGTAGTTAATTTTTGATAGGTGCAGATGCGAAAATTGGCATAATCACACTGACATTATCACGGAGGAAAGGCACCTTAGGTAGGAAATTGTTACTCCATATGGCCAAAGAAGCCACTATCCGTACGTACGGTACGCAACATACATCCAGACGGATATTCGTGAGTGAATTTAAAAAGCCATTGACTGATGTCCGAAATGCAGCTCTTGGTCGCAGAAATTTAGCCCGTTGACTGCTGCCATACGCACATGACCATCTTGTTCGCTTAGTGGCTTCCAAAATCAATCATGAGCAAATCGTCAAAGATTTATCTGGAATTACTGTCTATTCTGTGCGCTAAACATTTGTGCTCAGTAAAGGTTGCAATAAATTCGGTTAGCGCAACTATGCGAATAGATTATTTTCCTAAAACTTGATTATACCTAATATTAATGAAGACTTGTACGCAACAGAAAACGGAATTTACTAAGGTTAGCACACAGTACCTAGAGGTTAACCCTCATTCGAACACACGTGATGTCCTATTTTTTAAATGTGTGAGACCTTGATAATCTTTGTAACAGATTCGATTAACAACTACTATTTCTGGAGTACAGAAAACGTAGTTTCTTAAGGTCGAAATCTCAAGTTTTTAATTTTTTCATTGTATAGAATATCGTTTCTGATTGAGATGGAGCATCTGAATGCGACCGTTTTTCTTTCACTCTCCTCATAATGCTATAGAAGGTTACTAGATCTTCGATACCATCCAGTCAGGTCATTTCTGGTCAATATTCTAAATGAATTTGGAAAGGGACCAAGAGTTTGATGATGCCGCATGTCTGTGATGTTTCACTCCTCTGGTAATTCATAAAGTTGATTTTGTTTGTTATGCTGACTATAACACCACACCTGTAAGATTTATTTTACTTTATCCATTAAAACACCTTTGTTTTTCGTACGAGACAGGCTTCTAATGGTAGTGATGACACAGAGTGTACTTCTATAAAAGTTGCCTCTGACTTATTTGACATACCTGAACTCGTAGTAACCGCCGTAAATGACATTATGGGTTTCAGACCCATATCA